TGCTTTTACTCGCACGCTATTAATAGGAATAGGTTCAGCGACCAAACACAACTGAGTTACGTAGGTAATTGAAAACTGTTTTCAGCGCATTATTTATCTCTGCCAACAGTTCGGGATGCGGGACTCCTGTTGTCTTCCTGAATAATGTCTCCAAACTCAAAATTAACAGCTTGTAATTAACTCGAAAGAGGCGTGGAAGCGCAAGTTTCCGCATTTAAATTCTCCAACTATGTACGTAAATGTCTTCCTTATCGGCATAAAAATAAAAATTTCTTTCTCGAAAAACAAAGAGATTTCGAAATCGGTATTTTACATATTAGAACATTTTCGTTATCTTTATAGCCTTTGTTAGCAAATATAAATGCCAGAGATAAAGCGTTGCACAATTCGGAAATAACTCAAACGCACCAAATTAAAATAAACTATTTTGAAATTTTGTGGGTTTATTTTGGGCATTTAAGGTAATTGAAGCATTTTGCCACGCTCGATTTGGTCCAATTTTTGATTCATCTGGTTTCTCCTTTCTGGTCACGTGAAGATGAGATGGAAAAGCAAGCATATCGGTGGTTTTTAACGGCTTGAAAGCGACGTGTATCGATCCGACTCGCCTGAATGTGTCGTCCGGCGCGCTCGGCTAGTTTGCGATTGACCACTCTATTCAGATAATTGGATATCGGTGGAATCAAATAACAGACTCGGCAGGCGCAAAAGAGGGTATGGATTGTGGGGGGTCGTGCCTTACGGGCCTTGACCATTTAAAATTATCCACAAAACCACTGAAAACTAAATAATTACAATAATTATCAAAAAAAATTCGCAAAAAATAAAAATAATTGAGATATTAAAAGCGTAATAATTTCTAAACATGTACACTTAGTTAAATACTAAAAGCAATAGTAGCTAAAACTTGTTTTTGTCTTGTAAAGTGTATAAAAGTTATCGAAACGTGTCGATCTAACACACGTCCGGACTGCTTGTCTCCACCGACTCCCACACGTGGAATTTGAAGTTTTTTTTCGGCTCAAGATCTTCAAGATCTCATAGGCAAACAAGACCTCGAGTTCATGATCGTCGCTGCAGCTGGAAACGATGAGAATTTGAACAATTACCGGCCACGTGTAATGAAACAGGAGACAACGCGCGTGTAACGGTCGCCTAATAACCACAACGCAAACAAATAAATATTTAAGTAAACAAACTTAAAAAAAAAACGTGCAATATGAGGAAAACAAGAGTTGTTTACGTGCCAGCTGTTGCGCAAGGATACAACAGAATTAAGAACATCACACATTCGCAATGAGAGGGACCAGAAGGTGCATTAATCATAACAGTCGTGTAATACATTGTTGAACAACGCTGAGAATCTCTTCACATTCCGCACCTACACGACTTTTACCTGAAAATATTTCCATATTTTGAGCCGCACTCTAATGTGACATAATTTATTATCATTGTGTCTTCCTAGCATTCGAACAGCGACGCGCATAATTTAATCAAGTATTGTAACCGAAAACAATTCGAAAACATAAAATAATTTTATTTTATTCTGCGCTGTGCTTCCTAATAAAGCACAATATCGTCTACGTTTAGTGTTTCACCACGAGTTAAATATCGTACACGTTGAATGCATGCACACAAATAAAAAGAGTTAATCGTTAATAAATCTTGGTGTGTGTTGTGTGGTGCCTTCAAGTCGTTTTGTCGACGTTTTCACGCACGCAGTTTACACGAGTTTAGCGCCTCTCGGCGTTGTTATGCATGCAGTTTTATTAACTCGATTTCCAAATAAAGTTCTCGTTATAAAAATGCTTAATTGATGCGCTCGCCACGCTCGTAAATATCGCGAGAGGCGCACGGTACGAAATCGGCGGGACGCCTGCAAAAGAAAAACGAGATTACGAACGCGCAACGGGGCAATATATATTTATTATTAATTATGCGCGCAAAATTATGGCAAAGTTATAAAACAATGTCCTAATGTGAAATACGAGCGGGCGCACATCGTAAATGTTACGATTGGTGATCGAAAAGCATGAAAATCCCTACTAATATTATAAATGCGAAAATTCTGATGTTTGTTACACTTTCACGCAAAAACTACTTAACCGATCATCATGAAAATTTGTACACATATTCTTAGTGGTCCCCGAATGGTTATAGGCTACTTTTTATTTAATAAAAAAATTATTTAAAAAAAAAAACAAAGAAATTGTTTAGCCAATAATACCTCTGCATCTGGCTATTTGACTACTTTAACGCCATCTAGCATTCCAGCAATGAAGCTCAACCCTAAGTACTATAGTACCATCACACTGTATTATCACACTGTATTACCGACAGCTACGTCAACATCAAATCCAATTGACTACACTATGGAGACTGTACACTATACTTCCATAGACTATACTTTCAGCCATTTTAAACTTCCCGCCATTCTACTTCATTGTTACTTCTTCTGTGACTACAGACGCGTACGGAAGCAACTTCATTATTTTAGATATTCGAGAGCGAAGCCGTGGGTTAAAGCTAGTATTCAATAAAACTGTCAAAACGTGGAAATTAAACACAAATAGTATCTAATCGGGAATTGTGGTCACGTAGACGTGTGTTTTGTCTGCGCGAGAATAAATGTGCGAAAGTAAACATAATTTGCTTAATGATTACGATGTAAATAACTCGATGTGCATAAATTACGGTTAAGGAATGACAAAAATGCGTGAGGCTCACACTCAGCTCTTCATCTTCATCCTAGAATATTAACTTGTCCACTTGTCCACTTGTCGCCGACGCCTTCACGCTTCAGTCTCCGATTGATATGTTAGCGTGTCTCGTGATTTAAATAATTAACAAGAAAGAATGCAATTTGAGTTGACAATGTCTGTGCTGCATTTCAGTCGTGCTGATCGTTAGTCGCAGACAAACCGGGAAAAACGTTTAGAAAGTTGATTGATGAGTCTGCGGCGATGCTAAGTGCGTATGTAAATCGATAGGCGCTTGAGCGCTCGTTTCGTAAACTTTTTAAACGATTACGATACATCGGCATCGTTCAGCCGGTTGCATTTTGTGCGTAATTTAACGCTTCCTACGGCGTTGCATGCGCCTTAAACGGACGAGACCGAACATAACGGGGTGCGCGCGCGAACAGGAGTTTATTGGATCGCTATCGGCGATTATTATACACCAACAAATGATGCCTAAATGCGCCATTCACGTCGCATCATCAGCATCATAAATAAAATACCGAGCGAGATGTGTAATGGTGGTTGCCTACTGTGATTCACATTCTAACCTTCAAAGTTTCATATTGATGCTTGAAACAATTCCCGAAAATAAATTCAATGTTCGAATATAAAGTGGGTGTTAAATTTAGTTCGCGTGCCGCATGGCAGTTAACAACTCGACACGGAAAATTCACGCCCGAAAAGTGTTGTACTGGTACTGACTGGACGATGGTTTCGAAGGTAAAGAGCTGCCCAATCATCCATCGCGAGTGATGGATTGCCGTTTGATCCGTTTATTGCCGTCGTTCACGCATGGCCGTGATTTCACGCGCGTCGTTCGCGTGGGCATTTAGCAAACACATAAATTCATGCTGGTTTCATCGGCGTCAGGTATGCATTCAAAGCGATTACAAGGTGAGCACATGTAATCCAATAATCGGGAAAATTTATTGGGAAATTTATTCATATACACTAGATTATAGGAATTGACGTGACCTGTCGTTAATCACAAACTGCATTATTGTGATTAGTCCAAGAAACTTTCAAGGTTCAGTTAAAAAAAATTTTTTTTTAAACAATTATGCATTAAGGTCTTGTGTGTGAAGTGAATTCAAACCGCGCAGCTCACTTACATGCATATCAGCATAATATATGTACGTGGGCGTATTTTTACGTCGCTTACAAAACCCGCAGACATTTAATTCAGCATTTAACAGCAATAATAATTATATTTACGGCTTCGTCTCGGGAATATTTTTCCATTTTCCCTGCCTTATTAGTGCAGGCTAGCACATTACACATGCTTTCTGATGTTATCCGACTGAATGTGAAATTCACCGGCGCCCGGCGCCAACTAATTACGAAAGCGACACTTCGAAGAGACGCGTTATCGCACCCATCGACACCGACACCAATCGCCTGCAACTGGAATTCAATTTTAACGATTTTTGGTAGTTTCACATGAAAAACACACACAATTTACATTCAAATCGTGATGAATGTTTAAACAATTGCGTCGGAAATAAATACATCAATGAAAACTGAAAAATTGAGGCCATTGAGTGATGGATGATAAAACTTCAATTGTCTATCGCTAGATGTCACTATTATTCACCCCGCAGTCGTGATGAGAATAATCCAGGTCGCATTAGTAACGCGCTCAGCATCTTTCACTCAAAATGCATGCAGATTGCAGATTACACGCTCGCCGTTGATGAATTAGTCACAATTTCGTGTGTTTTGGATGCGTGCAATTTTCTTCATTCTACTCAGCTACACAGCTGCGTGTACTTACCTTTCTACTGCACCTTTCTACTTATTTATTAATAGCAACACACGCGTGGTGAGTGTAATAACTTATTCCGCTGCTCGGCGCACAGCGCTGACAACAATAAATATGGCGTCCGTGGCGAATTCATTTGATTCCTGTGTTTGCGCACGCCTCAAATAGATTATTACATTAATTATGAACATTATTGTTGGTTAGTGTTGGTTAGAGTCTATTAGAAGGCGGACTTACATAATTTGAGAGCTAATTAATCTCCGTATTGCGTTATTTAAATGCGTGATATTGGCCATCGCGACATTCCGGCTATTCAAATATCAATTTGTTGTGTTGACGCTGGGAATTAGCGAATGCGCGAGGTCGTAGAAAAGATTTTTATGACATTCATGAATGTGTGATGAAATTAAAAGAAATTACTTACCTTTTTATTGTTTCACTCGTTGGGATTGTGATTATTCTGATTTTTTTGGAGGAATTTGCTGTGTAAATAAAAGTTTTTCGTTGATTTTTATGTTTTTTCATTGCTTTCGTTTTTTAAATTCTTTTTATGGATATTTCGTATTTTGGAATGTTTACAAATGGCACAGATCTTACATAATACATAATAATATTAGTTTTGCATCGGTCGAATTACGTCTTGCTATACAAACAGCTCGGCGCGCTCGTGCGCGCATGCGCACTAGTTAACAAATAATTTATATGAGATTAGCGTAATGACAATCAAGTGTTTACTTTGTGTTCTTTCTGCATCGCTCGCACTCCGAACTTACTTCGAATAAGTTTCTATATTTATATTTATAATATATGTACAAAAATGATACTTAAATGTATACTGGGTGTTCGCGGGTCTAGGTGGGTGTTGCATAAATAAATTTCCGTGTTGAGGTTGTTCATCATCAATCGTGGTGTGTGTTTTTTTGTCGCTTGCAACGTTATTTTATAAAAAAGAATAAATAATAAAGTAATATAATATACAAAATGTGATAATTGTATTCAATGTGTAAATTCATGCACTGCTTTCGGTCATACAAATACGTATTTCGGCCGTCCGTGCGCTGGTCGAAGCGCGCTGGAAGACCTGCCGCCCCATAGGGGTTAGAATTATGATTTAGCAGGCCACACTGCGCCGCCTCCGCTCGGCTCGAATTTGGTTGCATTAGAAACGTTCGCATCTCGCACTCGTCGTCGCACAAATACTGATAACTCAATGGGTGATGGGTTCGCATCCACCCCTATGCCCAGCAGCTGGGCTCGCAGAACATGTTGATGAATTTCCGGTGTCGTTTTCGGTTTCGTACCTTCCCCGTGTGGAGCTTTTGGCAGTACTTCTCCAGACCCTCACTGCACGAATTTTTCCTATCTGCTGGAAGTGGTACTTTGAGCAGCACCATCACTTCGTTTGTGTTGACGATGTTCCTTCTGGTCACGTGCAGTTGCAGGTTGTTAGCTCCGTGAAAAAACGAATAGCCGTTGAGGACTGTTTCCTCTAACAGACAATTCGGCATAGGATTCCTCTAGATAATTAAAATACATAAAAATAAATTTTTAGTTTTTAGTTTTTTTAGGTTAAAAATATCGTACCCTAGAAATTGCTTCTCCAAATGATCTATTTTGAAACTTTTTGGGTTTCCCTATGCATATAAAATATTCCTGATCTACGTCGAATATGTAGTAACCCGTTATATCCTTGGGATGAAGAATGCATAACGGGTCTGTAAATTGAAGAATCACAAATTAAACCTGATGAAATTTTGCGTTTTGAGCGGTTTTCGCAAACCTACACTTTATTGTTCCATTGTAGTCGGGCTTATGATTCCTGCTATTTACGGCAAGGAAGTTCGGTTTGTTTCTCAGCTGAATAGACCAGTCGGATATGGCTATTTTGCAGGTTCCAGAGTTGGTATGGACGTTTCGAACCATCTGTAATAGAATCACACAACAATTCTAAAAATATTCATAAAAATCAAAGTTTTACACACAACTGAAATGATGCTGTAGTTTGCGAGTTGAAAAAATCTTTGAGTTGATCGAACAGCAATCAAACAACTCGCCAATGATGGTCAGAATCATTAGCAAGTCCTCACGCGTCCACAAAATCAAATTGACATTAACATAAAAACACAATCACATCGCGCGATACAAAAACAATCCGCCAGCATGACTTACAAGAAAATCGTAAGTAACCATGTTAATGAAACATAATTGGGTCATTTACAACGTCGATCCAGTTCAGCATTTGACGCGTCGCGTATTTGCATAATATGTAAATGTGTGTAATTAATTAACTAATTGAATAAACATGCGATTAGAGGCATTGAGCGCGCTTAGATATTAAATAGTAATCGTAACACATTACTTACCATTATTAGAATTATAATAACTGATGAAATCCTGCAACAAAACGAGAAAAAACGCCACTTTTAGAACAAATAAAACAATTTTCAACATTTTAACAGAAAACACAATTCCGTGACATGAGTGTAATGTAATGTAAGTATATTTGTTTGATGATTAAATAAGCGCTATTAAGTAATAAATATTTTGCGCTCGTAAAAATACAACAAGTGTCAGCACATTGTGAACCACATCGAGAATGCGCGGAATGTGTGTGATAACAAATCGTGTGTTTACAATGCGCAAAGCAATGAATTTTCATTTTAATCACGGAAATCTTTTGACTTACGTTCTGGACGACATGTGCACAAAGTTTGATTTGATCTCGCACGCACATTTGACTGAACAAAATCGTTTGTGTTCTCTACGCAACGCTAGCAACCGAATGACAACATTTCGACGCACATTCTGTGCACTTGAGACAGTTTTGCGTGCACGTCGCGACGCACAACGATTAAGTGCGCAACATGCGCAAGAACAAATTTGCTCTTAAGTCACTAAGTGTCTCACGCATGGAATATAAACTAATTATTGTATTTCAATGCGTAAAGACTCAACTCGAAACTCTACCAGAATACGAGTTAAATTTAAATCAAGAATTGAGTCAAGAAGTCGGAAATTAACATGAATCATCGAGGACGAGCGATTGAAGTGACACTTAAATTGAGAAATTCTTGAAATATTTATAAAACCAACTCGCCAGCATAATAATTTTTTGATTCAAAATGCGACCTTTGTATTGATGACCTTGCCAAATATTCCACACGGTAAAAATACCTTTACAAGCAGAATTATTCGTGCCAGTGTTAATTAATTGATTGATTACGTGCATTAGAAATGCGATAGCGTTATAATTTCAAAATTAACTCGACGCATAACCAATGGAGATGGTAAATAATTCATAATTTCATAAATTGGCCCTGAAACATTTATAATTTGATTACAATTTTTATGCGATCGGTGAAACCCAAACAAGATGTTAAACTCTGTGTCGTTAAGTTATAAAATTACATTTTTTAGCACAAATTACCAAAAATTAAGTCGAATTACTTAAAGTGCAGCTTGTGAAAGCGCATGCCTTGCATCACAAATGAATAAAAATTGCGGTAGCAGAGAATTTATTATTATTAATTAATAACACAAGTTGTATGGAAATTCTTAACGCATTCCAGGCCTCAATAAAACCGCGCAGACTAAACACTTTGCCGCGTTTCGCAATTAACCACTCATTAATTACCTCCTGCTTAACTTAACTCATTTTATATATAAAAAAATCGTTTATAACCGTAGGTAATTTAATAAATAACATTGTTGCGAAAAATCAAAGCGGTTGGGAAACCAGTGAAAGAGTTATCATCAAATCAGGGTATAATTTCGACAATAAACTCAACGAGAGAGCGTTGATAGCCAATAAAACTATTTATATGTTTCAATTGAGAGTTTCAACTGAAATCAAAGTGTAATTACATTCGATGAGCTTGACTTCGTGTGTGGCAAAGGCGTTAATTGTCATTTGATTTCTCGTGTCTTGCGCCTGCGTGGAAAATAAAATTATTTACAACCGAAATTAATGTGCGCATAAATTTCTGACGGTTTTTACGCGATTTAATCAAATAAATCGCTGAAAATCAAAACAGATGTTCGCCATCGTTCGCAATAATATAATAGCAATATTAGTCGAGTACAAATTGGATTTGTTTCTTAAAGGGACTGTAATGAGACGTGAAACAACGCGAAACATGCTGGGTTAACTATAACTAATGGTCTAAGCTTCTCCAGACTCGAACTAAACCATGAGATAAGTGCTTATTTAGTGCACAAAAACTAAAAAATAAAAAAATTAATAAAAACTGTTTGTAACAAAAAATAAACAAGAATTTATTAATTTTTTATATAAAAATTCATAAAAATTTAAATTTTTTACTTGGGGTTTCTGATACACCTTGTATATATGCACATCTAATAACTATAAGCGTATATGGGACCAGTATGAAGTACATATTTACAAGTTGCATAATATAGTGCGACACGGCGTGCGATGCCGACTATTAACAGCGGTTTGTTAGTCCTCTTGCGCGAGAGTTCTTCGGCGTCGTTTTATTGCCATTCTAGGAGCACCGCGTTTCGCGAACGACTTGCGTACGCTTTAATGAGACCCGCGAGCGCACTCACGAGAATATATTGCGCCTTGCGCACGCTGGGAACAAACGCATTCCCGATTTTCAACACGCCGCGATTTAAGGTGTAAAATGACACACGACGCCAGCGAGAAGAGAATCACACGCGTGCAGTACACCCACACCTACAACCACGCCATGTTCATCATAATATTTAAATTTCTACGTCTACTACGAGTAGGTACCTATAAGTTCTTGCTTTTAATTTTTTGATTTTTTGAATTTTTGAGAATATTTATGCCTAAAAAGTGTTATTTAAAAGTCATTATCATGTTTTCGGCGGAGTGTGGTGTGTGTGGCTTACTCGTATGCGAAATTAGCCTCCACACTCGAGAGTTTCGTGCTCAACGTGTAAATTAACTTCGACCGCACAGCGTGCACTCCTCGCGATATGGGATTTGCGCGCCACGGTCCGTTTTAGCAGTTTAACAGTTTAACATTTCGAGCAGAAGTGGAGGACGCATCCGAACGTCTTTATTATCTCTCTACCAGCGAGCGCAGGCAGCCGGCGGAGCGCGAGAGCGTGTTTCACGGCGATAACTAGTTTTTAATGCCTTTTGTTAATGAATATGTTTGTGCATAACTTCATTACCGCGCGAAGAAATGCACTTTTTGTCGACATATACATCTACTATAGTATATATGCTACTAAAACGTAAATGACTTACTCGCCGAGTGGAAAATTTCGCAAATTGCTCGAATTAAACGCTCGATGAATTTAGAATTAGCAATTTCGATGTTGTATTGTATAGCGAACAAAAGCCGCATGGCGCGTTCCCAAATATTTATTTGATTTTTGTACGAGACTCCCATTTAGCGGTCGAACGATAATCGCACAATGCATCATCGATTTATAGCCGCACGTCAATTTTGGGCATTCGGATATTTATTGCGGCATTACGTAATTGTGGCGCTGCTGTTGTGTGGAACGTGCCTGCGTTTCCAAAAATCCAACACAAAGTCAATTTTCGCGTCAAATTTACCCCCAACAGAGCTATTCAGGATTCAGGTACGAGGAAAAGTAGAGCACATGCCAGCACATGCCCCTCATAAATAACCGCCGGTAAATGCCGCCGCAAGAAAGGTGAAATGGTAACAGTCGAACAATCGACTACAAAAAGATGCAAATACAATGGAGCGGACGGGCAGATAATCAACGAGCAAACTAATAGGGGAAGCAACCCAGAAACTTCAAAAATATACAGAGTGTTTAGTTTTTATGTTGAAATTTACCGAAAATTGCAAGTAGTCACCCGCTGGGTGGTCAGTTTCTTCCACCTTTAGTTAAAAGGTGTTATAAGTCGATACAGAACCCACCCGCCCTAAATGCTGCCCGGTCCTATGCAAACGCAGCACACAGCTGACAACACGAAACTAAAGCTGCACGTCGGCAAGATGAAAACACACACAGACACAGCCGAAAAATAAATTCGGAACATAAGCCGACATTTCGCCGCCGTGCCAACCAACAAATCGCATTAAACGCATAAAAGGATTGTAATAACATCAACAAATAATAATAACTTAATAACATAAAAGGCTTGCTGTCGAGTTGAAACGATGAGAAAAATATTTGTTCAACGGATTAATCAAACACAAATTTAAATATTCAATAATTCGGCGTAAAATGAGATTTTTTTTTCCGTGTCTTGATTAATGTCTATTTTGACCGAAACTAAACACACATCGATTGCAATATCAGACACTAAATCATCGCCGATAAAACTATGAGAAGTATGAAATTAAACATATTACGAACCCGGTTCCATCCGCAGCACCGTTTAAGTCCGCCTCGGTAATAAATAAATGTTTGTCAATGCATGGCTCGTTGCATGTTCCTCCGGCCAACTGGACGAATAAATAAATAATTTGTTGCTGCGCCGCTCGGCTCAAAGCTAACCGATTAGTTATGGGCGAAACTTTTAAGTCATGTTCTCATCGACGAATAATTTTTCTCTCCGCCGCGGTGAAATTTATTGTTTTTCATGTTTTCAACAATCAGATAAAGTCTGAAAGTGGTCTGCAATATTTATAAAGACATTGGTAATATAACAGCGGCCGCGCGAGTTTCACTAAAACGCGCGCTGGAGAATTATGGCTTTTCATTAGAACTCATTCATGTTGCAAACGCGCGCGCGTACAAGCGAAAAACGCAATAAAATATATTATTGGGTGGCATTGTTGTGCGCAACAAGCGCTGAATTAATAAAAACATAAATTAAGGCAAAGACACGTTTGTCACAAAGCGCTGTGAAACTATCCGCCGCTAGATGGCGTTAGATGTGACGAAAATCTTCATGCATGCGCAAACAATGAAGTAATTATTAACTTTATTAATAACTATTACCGCGGAGAGGATGACATAAATTAAACAAACACCGCGCGAGCTGTGACAAGACAACAAGCAGTGAAGAATAAACACACTCGATTAATAGATTATTTGCATATTTATACTTTTTTTTTCAACTCTTTGCAATTTGTCATAATGAGATAATAAAATGTTTTCGCAACGCGGAACAAGCAGACGAAACAATGTCGAAAATATTTATCAGCAATTATTTATAAATTCATGAATTCATCATCGATGCCGAAAAGATTTATTGACGAATACACTTGCAGAGGTGTGCAATAAAAGTGTCTCATAAATCCATCTTGAAAATACGTGTGCTCCGCACTTCTCTGGAAGATTGATTAATTAAAATTCCGTTTTCCATTGCGTCGGTCGGTTTGGTTCATCAATCCTCGTTTGAGAACACAGTGCGAGTGCGTTAAAAACGAATGTAATTAAAAGTGGAGCTCAAAAAGGTCGCGACGTACTTAACTACTAACTCAGTTGCTTGCGCCAGCGCACACCGCGCTGAGAAGAAGAAGAATAAATTAGTTTACAAAACGTTTGGCCGTGGCGAAACAAGTGCAAAAAGCAAAATAATATGATAATAAAAGTTGACTTAAGTAACTTCACTCGTGGTGGAAGATGTGGTGCAAGCAGAGCACGCAGTAAAATAAAAGCAGCGAAAACGTTTTTATTTTATTTTTTTCTTCTTCTTCGAGGGCGAACGCGTTAATATGATGGAAACGGCTTGTCGATGTCCATGCCCAAAGTAAGTAACTCACTTACGACTAGTTGGCAGTACAAATTTGCATAACTAAGCTTGTTACCGCAGTTCGAATTAAACAATAAAAGAGTCAATTTTTAAATGCACTTCTTTTTTCGACTGCTACACTGGTGACTTGTGATTGTGTGTGTGAGCAATGTGAGCGCGTATCGCACACGGCAAGGCGAATATATAAGTGGAATGCGCATTGTTTAATCAAAACGCAATTTCACGAGTGCGCGCGCGACTCGAACAAGTTTTATGATTCATTGCGCGGTAGGCAAGCGCATAGATGCAAAAACCTGCCTCGGGAGGTGTTAAGCTACATCGGCGCGAACCCTGCGCGCTCAACGGACGACGATGTAAGACGGCGGCAAAAAATTAGGGAAAACATTCGCTGACTCGTCGCGTCGGGCACACACAAGTCGCCATTTTACATTCGTTTTGCACATTATACAAGAGTACGCATTGTTCAAATCACTTTTCCAGCACCACAAGGCGTATTTTGAGGTTAAGAAGTTTCTCACACAAATTCAAATACTGATATTGATTAATTTATTAATTTATGCGATTCATTAACATTCCCAATTGTTCTAGTTGTGTGTGTGTGTGCCGGGTCTGTTTTGTGCGTGCATGTGGTTCGGAAACATGACACTCGTTTCCCACTTTCGAGCGTAATTAAATTTAATATTTTAGAGAGCAACACACCAACTAATGAATACTAATGAGTACAAAAGCTACTTCACCAGCGAGTGCACAATCCACCCCTTTCGTAATAGCGGTTTTACCCCTTTTTTCGAGTTTTCATTTGCATAACAAATTTCTAGTTTTTCCGGGCCCGCTGTGGAAAACCTCAAATCCGAATGATTTCCCCACAGAATTGAAATAAATTTTCCTGCATGCTGTACGCCGCTATGGTCTCGAATAGAAATTTTAATTGCTCGAAATTTAAATTTTAATAGAAACGGGAGCAAGGAGCGGCGCGTTCTTCGAGGAGCCGAAACATAATAGCATGTGATTTGTAGTTTATAGTCATGTTAATGACTGCAGCGCCGGAAGCGTTTTTCGATGTTTCGCCCCGCGATATATCATCGGCGCATCCGTGTTATGCAAGTGCAACACTAATAATTGAGCTTAATATTATTGCGACTTGCGGTTTCCAAATGTATGGGTATAATCATGCGTAATCATCATTATTACACGCACACACCGCCTATCGTTTAGGTATTTAATTTACTCCACTACACTTTCAATCAATTTTCAAACATTAAACAATTAGGTATTTTGTTTTCATTTTTCGCGCTGCATCTGCAAAAATATTTGTGTAATTCCATAATTAATTTATTGTTAATTAATGCATTTTATTGCAGCCAGCGCGACGCGTAACGTGTTTATGTCCGCGGCGTTTCACAAACTTCAAATCGCGTCGCGGTAATTTCGCGCCCGTCGGACGGTCGCATCTCCCGGCTCCGCGCTTGGAAGCTGGTTTTCTTCAATTCACTTACTGCTAAACCGCTAAATGTTCCGCGGCGCGCGCTAATGCTAATATTATGTTCGCGAGTGTTTTTTTCGACGCGCACGCGGCGTTTTATTATCCGCGTGCGAAATGTGCGAAATATGCGACGAGAGACGCCATGAATTTGTAAAAAAAAAAATTTTTTTTTGGACTAGGTCCAGATGCATGAGTGTTGCACTTAATATTTTATCCCTCGCACGTGTCTACATGAAAGGGTTGGGTGTAAAATAAAAAATAAAACTAGGGGGCTGAGATCGTGTTCATTTTTTGTTCGCGTCTGCGCTGCGTGTTTTTTTTTTTTTATTTTCAATTAAGAGCGAAGTGCACTACTCACTTCTTCCACACATTAGGTTTCATCCAGTAGGTCAGGGGCGAGTGGTGCCGCTTCCAGCATCACCCAACATCATCCTAGAATCCTTAGATCGCACACCGCACACGCCGTCCGAAGATTTGATATGTTATTCCGCGCCGTCGCGCACTGACCACACGGCGTTTCTCATCAGGGAGAGAAAGCACTTTTCTCCACTTTAGTGAAATTTTTAAACAAAAACCCTTCGATTATTAATAGTATTCCTTTGCAACACTCAAATTGTTCACTTCACACACTTTTTTGGCACTTTTTTTTGGGGGAGACGAGGATAATCCGCTTGGGAAAACTTTTTCCGGGGCGAAAGCGCGTTGCGCACGCGAGGACGAGACGCGCTTGTGTTCCGTACGTTCGTTTGCTGTGTGCCGACGGCGACTACGCTGGAGCCCGAGAGCGAAGCCGTTGTCTACCGCATGGTTGGGCGAGCGCGCCGCCGATTGTGGTGCGGTGCGTGTGTGCGCGTCGCGCACGGACCGAGCGCGACCGATCGCCGGGATAGAGAGCTAGGCACACCATCATCGGTTCCGCTGATAACTGCCACCACTGGTCACCGGACTACCAATTCAGGTAGATCCCAATTCTACATTTACCACCAAAAAACGTCCTAAATTTACTAAAAACACATTTCGCAACACCCTGTGTCACTGTACATCCTTGTATCATGTAATATCCCAACCCTTGATTTAAAATAGTAAAAAACGAGTTTTGAATGTTAACCCAAGGGAATAATCTAGTGAATGACGACAGAAATATTATGGGTGAGTACTTACTGTTTGCCAGACATAATTTCGATGCTGGAACACTCGGTAGAGGGACATGGATGTAAAAAAAGGGTTGCTAAATAAGCTATTCAGCATCTATTTAGAGCACCGACCGAATTGCACGATATACGAGTACTACGCGAATGTGTGCACGCTGTGAACGTTGTGATAGTATAATCGATGCGTTTTTGGAAGGGCGCGTTTCACCCGCCGCACGAGTCGTGATTTTTCACACTTTAATCGAAGCATCGGCGCCGCAGATTACGCATCCGCATGACTAATAAATAAATAATTTGTTGATTATCCATCAACAACAATAATTTATGTTGAATGTAAATATTTACACATTTTTTTTTGGGTTTAGAATGCTGTCAAGTCTTGTAGCGTTTGCAAAGTCAACAAATGGCATAGACTATAAAACTCAAATTCCAGATACCCAGAGCCCGGAGAGTAAAGGAGAGCGTAGTTGGGGCACAATCAACTCCTTTCAGGTTTTACGAGCGCACACGGTGTGACACACACGCGGCGACTAGGGCATTACCCCGAGCCATTGTTTTTCTAGGGCAGATTTACACAAGTAGTCGTTTAATTTGTTTGTGTCTTTATGCAACACCCAGCAACGCCGAGATTAGCGTCGTTAAATGCATTACCTATGCATTACAACTACCTACCAGCTGCTACTACTAAACAACCTACAACTTCAAATCCACATTCAACATAACCTGCAAACTAGGCATCCACTATCCGAAAATATTCACGCACAGCATGGCACTGGCAATAGACACCGGAAAAAATTCTGCGCTGAGCGACCGAGGACGATAAAAACGCCAGTCTATAAATCTCCAGGCGTGCTCATCGAAAGACCACCTTGAAGAAGATGTCTTGACGGGTGACGCGCGCGGAGACAACCCGCGGAGTGTTGTTTTACCAAGTTTTTTATTTCTTTACCTACAACTAACAACTTCATCCAAACTGATGATAAGAGGCGAAATTTGTACCAAGGTGCTAGAGTTTAATCATGTACAAAACAATAACTGAAATGATTCATCTCAGAAATGTTTCTAAAGTAAACAACACACTGCAATGGTATGTACCCAGAGCATTCTTAGATAACATTCTGTTTGATTACAGATTTGCGCAAATCGCCAAATGTAATTTACCTACATGAAACATAACCTAAAATAATAAATTTAACCCACTCATGGAATTAAATGATTGTTGGCCCTTTGGCGTCGTTTAACGCACTATAATAGCATTTCATTAAACTCCCAAGTCTCAAGAGACAAGAGACAAGTCGATTGTTGCTGCGACGAACAAAAACAAGAAGACAATATGAATTGCATTAATTAAACGATTGCTTCCAGGCACTGAAACACTTGCGAGCGTTTTACAGTCTGTTCGAAATAATACGCTGGTAAATAATTGGCTTGGCTTCCGCTGCGCTTGGGATGTGGTCAAGTAGAAGTGCAACATGCCGCAGGTACGCGCTTTAAATTGATACATCTCATTAATCAGACGCGACCGGCAAGGCGAAGATGATTTATCATGCGGTATCGACCAATGCGCCAATCCCATTTATCAACTCGCTACTTTGCCATTCGATAATGCCGGCGTTTAGAGCGTGAAATTTCATTTAATTGTTTTCACTCGTAAATTCCCAATTTCAAAATTGTTGATGCCGGAAGTTCGTGTACTGTATAAATCAAAAAATAAATTGGATTACCTGCAATACGAATCCGAAATTCTTTGAAAAAGTATTTGACACCTGTGCAGCGCAATAAAGTGATTTCTGAATGAACGGGATGAGTTTATGGGGTGTGAACTTTATGACACATCATAAACAAATCGGAAATGTTTCCTTTTCGGAAGGTGTTGGGACCACCAGCATGCAAAACAGGTATATTATTATTATTTCCGACAACAGGTACCCAGCTAGAAAGGAAACCTGTCTATTTTTATCAAAAAAAACTATTTTCTACAGATGCCTGATTAGATAAGGTGCCTACTCACACCTTAGTGTACATCTCGGCGTCGCCACACAATAATACAATAAATGTGTGCTTTTTTTCGGTGTGTGTACATCGGTATCGTAATGTCGTCGCTCATTGTGATTCGTAAGTAGGCACGACACATGCATGATGCGGCGTGCGCGAGCATCACGCCGCTGTAATGAGAATGAGCAGCGCGCGCGCGTTGCGATAAAAGCGTCTCGAACATTTTTATGTTTTGTTTGAGGCGTCTCAGCGATTAATTTCGGCGCCATGCGCAACAATAGAGAACGCCGCCGTGCGTCTCTCGAGATTTTTCCAATACGAGCATATTTTTCGTTGGGAATGCGAAGAGTTTAAACGACGTGGAATGCAAAGTGTAAATAATAAGTGGCTAAATGTACAGTCAGATCTAAAAGCATCAAGTTGAGGTTAGTTTTGTTTGCCTATATACAAGCTACTTATAAAAATAATTTTTTTTTCTTAAAAAACACCCTGTATAATATAACAGGTTCCTGAGAAATGAGAAAAATATCATAATTACTAAATAAATAACCTCAATTCTTCAACACAAACAAAATATTCCTCTCTATGGGGAACACCCTGTATAAAATTTGTTTTTGTTGTTGTTGCTTGTTAACTAGAATGAAATAATTACAACAAGCCCTCAAAGTGCTTGACAAGAGTAGTACTTCATGTACTACACTGACCGAAATTCAACACTCTGCTTGATGATGGTAAGTCACGAGTTGCATTAAATTTTCATCGGTCACTCTGTTGCGCACAGCGCGCATGAGTGGCAGAATTTAATTACACTTTTCTCGGCGCTGGCCGGCGCGCGTTTTCGCGTTTCAGCAAAACGGAGAATTACGAGGCAGTCGAGACCAGTTCATCATGTAACCAAACATGACGTGAGGGTGTCAAGAAAAACAACACTCGCAAGTTCACATCAGAAACACGAGCGGTATCGCTTTCTAAAGAAAAACACGCCGAGTTGAAGAGTTAAAAAGACGAAGCCGACGCAGTCACTAATAAAACAGGGCTGTATCAATGCATCAATAAACAAAATATTAAATTTTTGAGTCCTAACCTGTTAGGAGCGTGTAATTAATAGATCGTAAGACCATTTTGTACGACATGGCAACATCACATGCGCTAAAACGTTACGCAAACAGAACTTCTTCGTTCCCTGTTTCCACAACAACATTTTAACATCACTGGTAGATCTCAGGCGTGTTGAACCATAAAATCCAAGTTAGAAAACGTTGATTAAGTTTTAACATCGGAGGTTATTTGAATCAATTTAGATGCAAGATAACATCGGGTGCCTTTGAGGGCTGAGAATCATAATTATAATCTCGATCTAAATTAGAATATCTTTCTATCTGCCACTCATCGGGTAGCGGGTGCATTAATGTGAGACCACCCTTTCGACAGCTTAGGATATCAGAAAGAATGCACATCGATGGTAGGCAACCCTTTTTCCCAATTAAATTTATAATACGCGCTCCTCGTAGTCTATATAATCATAACCGTGGAGAGGGTTGCAGCCGCAAGGAATAATCAACCCCGTGAGTGAAACTGAATGAAACCCACACCGCACGTCGGCGAGAGGGTTAAATCAACAGCGGCGATTGAATTTATTCTCGGATTGGGAGTGTTGTGTTGGTACAGACGGTTGGAGTATGTCCATATGTCGCTGACAGGTGACTGGCTGCGCGTACTCGAGAATAGATTGACACAGGTATCGACATCATGCGCCCAAGTTGACTAATTGTACGCGCACATGTGCGGACCACACTGTATTTGCTCAAGTCATTGTGAACTCGCTGAAGAAGCTGAGGATTTCACGTTCGCGGCATGTCGAAATGTCTTGTTTGCTTAGCATAATGTACTTACTTGCATGTGCAACATGCTCATTTCGAAAAATTTTCAAAATCACGCCTGGAAGTCAATAAAATAAAATTTTTCATCTAAAAGTCTATTCATGGTCAAGCATCATGAAAAAAATGGGTGGTACCATCGTCTGACCTTTTTAAAATTTTGTTAAAATATGTTATTATTCATTTTGCACGTTTTTTATTTAAAATTTTATTTTTTTAATGATTTTCTTGTAACAGCCAGTATACTATGCCTATAATCATGCTACTCATTGAATCATTGACTTGTACGCATGCCAAGACGTTTGCAATTCGACCGCGTCGCGTCTTTGTTGCATTATGATATGATTGACACCATGTTGAGTTCTATCTTTTATCACACAGCGTCTTGGGTCTTTCTTGGCGCGCGCCTAATGGCAGTCCATAAACAAGCTGGAGGAATGCGCGGCCTTCTTTGACTCGCTGCCAATGTGAGGATTTTTTAGCGCCGAAAAATCGAGATAAATTTAATTGCGTCCGTTGTTGACAAAAGAGCTTTTTATCGCATGCACAATATTAGAGTGTCCTAATGCTAACGCTCTGAGTGTCGTCACTTTACTCTTGTTTTTAGTTTTCATCTGCTTTGGATATTACTATACTACTCGTGACTGATGATGAGGATGAGGATGAAGATGAGCTGGTCTTGTGGGTGGACATGACCTCCACAGCGCCCCGAAACGCTTTGAAGTATTCCGGCGGTGTTTAGCGCCGTCACTCGTGGAAGTGATTCACTTTTCGGCAGT